TATATATATATATATATATATATATATATATATATATATATATATATATATATATATATATATATATATATATATATATATATATCAGCCTGTCATACTGAGCAGAGCAAAGACTGTAGAAATTCCGCCACAAGATGGCGACAGAGACCACAAAATAAGTCTTTAGAGGAGAAAAACTCAGTGAAACAAATCATTAAACAGGTAGGAGACATTTTAAGACGACGTCTCTCTCTTTTGTATGTTGTAGTTCTGTATTTTTTACCATAGAAATCTGGTAGTGTTTGTTTTGGCTTTTTCAGGGTTAATTATTGTGACCTCCCAATTGCAACAGAGAAATACTGGGAAATCTCAGTAGACTGATGGCATTTCATGCTGTTCAGCTTTATAAATATCTTAAAATCTCTGCAAAAATCAGCTGTCTTGTCAGACATTACTCCAGAGAATCACTCAAATGCTAGCTCTAAAATGACGTTTGTGAGTTTGCAACAGTTTCTGCTGTTCTGACGGTCAGCTGCAGATGTGTAGTTTTAATTACGATTATGTCGCCGAATTGTTGTATAAACACAATATCACACTTGTATATAAATATATATATATATATATATATATATATATATATATATATATATGTATATATATATATATATATACACACACACACACACACACACACACACACACACACACGAGAAGTCAGAATTATTTGCCCCCCTGTTTATTTTTTTTCCCCCAATTTGTTTAACAGAGAGCAGATTTCTTCAGCACATTTATAATCATAATAGTTTGAATAACTCATCTCTAAAAACTGATTTATTTGATCTTTTCCAAGATGACAGTAAATAATCTTTGACTACATATTCTTCAAGACACTTCTATACAGCTTAAAGTGACATTTAAAGGCTTAACTAGGTTAATTAGGCAGGTTAGAGTAATTAGGCAAGTCAATGTATAACGATGGTTTGTTCTGTAGACTGTCGAAAACAAATATATAGCTTAAAGGGACTAATAATATTGACCTTAAAATGTGTTTAAAAAAATTTAAAACTGCTTTAATTCTTGTTAAAATAAAAGAAATAAGACTTTCTCTAGAAGAAAAAATATTATCAGACATACTGTGAAAATTTCCTTGTTCTGTTATTTGGGAAATTTTTAAAAAAGAGAAAAATACTCAAAGGAGCGCTAATAATTCTGACATTTATATGATATAATAAGAGTGGCGCAGTGGGTAGCACGTTCGCCTCACAGCATTAATGTCGCTGGTTCGCTGGTTCGATCCTCGGCTCAGTTGATGTTTCTGTGTGGAGTTTGCATGTTCTACCTGTGTTTTTTTTTTATAAAGGGACTAAGCCGACAAGAAAATGAATGAATGAATCCTTAATGTTCTCCTAAGGAAAATAGTCAAAATCCTATTAAATGGCCTAAGGAAAAGAAATGAATTAAAATTAATTGAATTAATAGTAAACTTTAATTTTTGGGTGAACTATAAAATACCTTTAACATTTTATGTAACCAAATGCCATTCATTTTGATCTAGAATAAGGTTAATTACTATTAATTAACTTAAATTATTAAATACATTTTTTAAATTTATTTATAATAGTGTCTAAATATACAAGTTTTTCCAATAAACGTGCAAAATAATCTCCCAATGGGGTCAGCAAAAAATCTTGTTTTCACTTTGAAATAAAATTATTTGCTTACCACATTGGCAGATTATTTAGCTTGTTTTAAGAGGAAAATTTAACTAATTTTGACTTAGTATTTCTGAAAACGACAACAGTTTTTTTTTACTAGATAATAAAACGCTTTCTGCTATAAGAATTTGTAGATCCTTGCAATAGAAATGAGACTCGTTTTTGCAGTGTAAGAATAAATGTAGTTATTAGTGTATAATTATTTACGTAATGTCATTGTGAAGCGCAGATGTACAGCACTGTGAATAGCTCAGTCTCACGGACAGGTGTAATAGGATAGAAACTGCATTTGGAGAATGAAGGAGCTCAATCGGGGATTTAGGTTAGGATTAAACACAAATGTCTTTCCCCCGGGTCTAATCTCTACAACAGCCGGCTATTTAAAGGGCACCTATTATGCAAAAATCACTTTTATAAGTGGTTTAAACACAGTTGTGTGACAACAACACAAATATATTCAGCTTTGACCGGTAACAACTAAAGAATTCTATATTTTATAATCAAACTCGATAAAAACTGTCTGCAGAAACACTTTGATTAACATTCTCCCTTTGTACGTGTCATCAGAGGGGGAAAGCCCCGCCCACTAGTGACCCTCTCTCCCTCATTAGCATAAACAACCCTGAGTGAGAAGCAGCAGTACATCATTAGTTTGTTTTGAATTAGACATAGGCATCTGTAGCTCCGCCCTCTTTTGAGAAGACTTTGCATTTAAAGTCGCCAAAATGCCACCGTTAGGATCAAAGCCTTAAAGGGTCAGTTTCAGACAGTTAGATAACATTATTTGTGGGGTATTTTGAGCTGAAACTGCACACACACACTTTCTAGGGCAGAGATGGCCAAAGTAGGGCTTGCAGGCCAAAGTTGGCCCATGGTAACCTCTGATATGACCTGTCCTCCCAAATGAGAAGAGATTTAGAATAAAGGTTGTGGCAAATGCCTTCAAGAGAGATCGTCACTTCTAATTTAACGAAAGCTTTTGTTTGTTTGTTTGTTTAATTGTTGGCTACAAAAATGCCAACTGAAATGTAATGTTTCAATTAAATGTTGTGCTTGAATCAAATTTTTAAAAATGTAAATACTGTCACTCGAGGACAATACACAAGACATCGACGATCAAATCAAGGCAAAGCCAGGTTCAGCTTGACTTGCGTATTCAGCATTGAACACCATTCTGTTTTAAATGTGTTTGTTATTGTTTCCCAGAGATGGGTTGCGGCTGGAAGGGCATCCGCTGCGTAAAAACTTGCTGGATAAGTTGGTGGTTCATTCCACTGTGGCGACCCCGGATTAATAAAGGGACTAAGCCGACAAGAAAATGAATGAATGAATGAATAAATGTTTTTAATGTAAGATGTACATTATAAAATGCAAAGCTACAACAACATATAATTATTAATATGATTGAAGCATTTTTTTTCTATTTATTTTTCATTCATTCATTTGTTTTCTTTTTGGCTTAAGCCTTGTTTATTCTTCTGCGTCAAGTGACCGGCATAACCCACGGCGCATGCAACACTCGTAACTGTGCATTTATACTTCTGCGGCTGTCTCTGTTGGTCTGCATTAACACTTCCGAAACGCTAGTTGGCAGTGAGGTGTTAATGTGTGTCTGTGTCGAGTTTCTTCGCCTGTGTTTTGTTCTTTCTGAACGCTTCCGGGATGTACAAGTGGTTCAAACTCGCTCATTTTGAGGCAGGAACCGGCGGATGTGCAACAACTCTCGGTCCCGCCCAGACTTGTCAGCACTACCAAGCCGACCAATCACAAAGCTTGCGCTACGCGTCGTTGCGACATGTAGTTACATTTTTTGAGAGGTGCACGTCAGCGACGCCGACGGCCACATCGTAGGGCTATTTGTCAGCGCCGTAGCATACGCGTGCGCTTGACGCAGAAGTGTAAATCAGCCTTTAGTTCCTTTATTAATCTGGGGTCACCACCGCGGAATGAACCGCCAACTTATCCAGCATATGATTTACGCAGTGGACGCCCTTCCAACGCCTATATATTTTTTAATATTATTAAATTAGGAAACTACCATGGCAGCTTTAATATAATAGTTTGGCATATTTACCTCCGGCCCACCCCCATCAGTCAAGTCTGGTTTTTGCTTTCATAAGAAAAAGTTTGGGCACCCCTGCTCTAGGGACATCAGAGACTTATTTATGTAAAAAGAGGTAAATTAGGTTCCCTTTAATTATTTAAGGAGCTCGCCTCACAGCAAGAAGGTCACTGGTTTGAGTCCTGGCTGAGCCAGGTGGCATTTCTGTGTGGAGTTTGCATGTTCTCCCCGTGTTGGCGTGGGTTTCCTCCAGGTGCTTCGGTTTCCCCCACAAGTCCAAACACATGCGCTATAGGGGAATTGGATGAACATAATTGGCCGTGGTGTAGGTACGTGTGTGAGTGTGTGTGTGTGTTTGTAAATGAGAGTGCATGGGTGTTTTCCAGTACTGGGTTGCAGCTGGAAGAGCATGTGCACCGTAAAACATGCTGGAATTGCTAGGGGTTTATTCCACTGTGGTGACCCCTGATAAACAAAAGGACTAAGCTGAAGGAAAATTTTTCAGGAGCTCAAAACACATGAAGATGTTAATAATAAGTTTAGCGGCTATTAGTTTTCTTTATCTTTGTGTTGCAAAAATGTCAGACGAATCAATCATGGTTAATTGTAAAAAGCTGATGGACATCTTTGCTTTTGTTTGCTGATAGAACCAACAAACTGAGAGGGGTCTGGATGCAGACCTGGTGCAGTGCAATCTGAGCTGCATCCAATGCCTTTTAATGCGCTCACCTAACCCTACACGTCACAGTGACATCACTCACTCCATTGAGAGCATGTGTCTGACATTGCATCGCTCAATCTCAGCTTGCATCATAAAGGCTGCATCCAGATACTGTTGAACAAACTGCTCCAGTAGTTCAAATAGATTCAAATTAAAATGTGTAAGGGAAAAACTTGATAGTTTACCTTGAATATGGTCTCCATTTCATCTCTGTCGATCTTGCCGTTTCCGTCCTGGTCGAAGAGTTTGAAGTACCACTTCAGCTTCTGGTTGATTTCTCCTTTCAGGAGCAGACTTACAGCAGCGATGTACTCCACGAAATCTATATAGCCGTCCTGAGGAGACAACGAAGAAAGAAAGGAATTCATATTATGAATGAAGAAATAAATCGACACGTTACATGTATATCATTTATGGTTATCATACATTTTTTATTGCACAATTATATAAATCAGGTGTGAGTTCTTGGGCCAAATATGAGATGTGTACCAAATCAAATCTAATTTAGAAAAGTTATTAGTAATCACTCTTTATTTTTGTCTTTGGCATGATGAGAGCACATACTATTTGATTAGGTTAATTAGGCAAGTCATTTGGACAATAGTGAGCTCATAAGATCCCTGAGCCTGGGGCTCCCTTCGGTTTGCAAGGCGAGAGGGGAGTTTGAGCTCAGGTAGATCTGGAGAACTCCCCTGCTGTAGTAGCTAATGAACTCTTAAGAGATAACTACTTACTAGGAGCATGTCCATGGTGCCGATTTGGATTAGTCAGTTAACTTAAGTTGCATGTTTTGGATGGTCGGAGGATACCGGGGAACCCGGGGGAAACCCACATGAGCACAGGGAGAACGTGTAAACCCAACACAATCTCACGCCAATTCGTAACTTTTTTATTTAGTGGCTAATTCCCACAAATTCGTACGATCTAATTCGTACATTTTAGTACGATTTGCGTATCCCCGAATGACGGTTGGGTTAAGGGGTGGGGTTAGGTGCCACACCTCCTTTTTAAAATCGTACATTTTCTTACGACTGAACTCGTACGAATTCGTACGAATTAGCCACTAAACTGCCAAAACGTAAAATACTTACGTTTTCTTGTGAGGTCAGGCTGGTAAACCACATATAAACGTCAACTGGCTTGGTAAGGACTAGAACCACTGACGCTCTTGCTCTGAGGCAACAGTGCCAACCACTGGACCACCGTGCCACCCATCTAGGAAAGGAGGGGAGTAGGGGTGGAAGGGGGATTCTTCAAAACGAAGATGGCTGTTATGTGGAACTGAGGGGGTTTATAGTGGCTTAGGAATCGTCTGATTGGTGAATCATAATTGAATAATGCGGCACCTGCTGTAAGCAATCATAAGCACGTGATCCTCTCAAATTAGTTTATAAATAAACTTCATAAAGTACAAATGTGTACCTCACAGTACCTTAAAGGTACAATAGTGACCTTTAGAAGATACAAAAGTGTACCCTAAAGGTACTAATGCCAACCTGTATGGCACAAAAGTCTACTTTTTGAAAAGTTACCACCGTAGTAGTAATGGGTCGTTCATGAACGATTCGTTCATTTTGAACAAATCTTCAATTTGACTCGGGAACTACGAGTCCTCTCAGGAAGTGATTCGTTCATCTGCGCGTGCGCACATTTGTCCAGGTGGTATCGTTCATTTCAAGTCTTTTGAGTCGTTCATCTCGTAAAGGCAGAAGCCAATCATATGCGTTTAGAGCCGGGAAAAGAATTGATCCGTTCATCTTTCGAGTCTGATCTATCTGGTCTGAGTCATTCGTTCCTCACGGGCTAATCATATGCGTTTAGAGCCGGAAAAAGAATTGAATTGAAAGGTGAACTAACCATCATGGCTCCTAACGGCTCAGACTGTGTACATTGGTTAAGATTATATGTGACTGTCCAGCCTGATCTCACGAGAAAACGTAAGTATTTTACGTTTTGCCAGTTTAGTGGCTAATTCGTACGAGTTCAGTCGTACGAAATGGTACGATTTTAATAAGGAGGCGAGGCACCTGACCCCACCCCTAACCCCAACCGTCATTGGGGGATGAGCAAATCGTACTAAATTGTACGAATTAGATCGTACGAATTCATACGAATTAGCCACTAAATGAAAAAGTTACGAATTGCCGTGAGATTGTGTTGCAGTTGGACTGTCAGTGTAACGTGAACGAACCACTGACATTTGAAGACATGAAGAGGTGAGCTGAGCAAAGAGACAACAATACCTTCATAGACAAAAGAGCAGGTAAACATTGAATTATTATTTTCTCTTTCTTATAGTATTGTATTTATGACTTATTTGTCGTGTGATCAACCTTTTGGGCTCGTTGTAGATGTGTTTGGAAGCAATTCGTAACATTTTAATTAATTAATTCATTCATTTTATTGTCGGCTTAGTCCCTTTATTAATCCGGGGTCGCCACAGCGGAATGAACCGCCAACTTATCCAGCAAGTTTTTACGCAGCGGATGTCCTTCCAGCCGCAACCCATCTCTAGGGAGAGCTGCACACACATTCACACACACACTCATACACTATGGACAATTTAGCTTACCCAATTCACCTGTACCACATGTCTTTGGACTGTGGGGGAAACCGGAGCAAACCCACGCGAAGGCAGGGAGAACATGCAAACTCCACACAGAAACGCCAACTGAGCCGAGGTTCGAACCAGCAACCCAGCGACCTTCTAGCTGTGAGGCGACAGCACTAACTACTGCGCCACTGCCTCACCCCTAACCTTATCATCACAAATAAAATGAAACTTCTGAACATAATCAAAGGAGCCTGACAGAAAATGCTCATTTACAAGAAAACTTGCTGGATAAGTTGGCGGTTCATTCCGCTGTGGCGACCCCAGATTAATAAAGGGACTAAGCCGACAAGAAAATGTATGAATGAATGAATGATAAGGTTATTAGCTGGTAATAAAACACCTTTTTTTCATAAATGTCACTTAAGCCAATTCTTTGGTTTTTAACAAGGGAGATTTTCTTTTGCGTCAAAACCAGCTAAATCCACTTGTGCTTGTTTTGCAAAAACCACTAAATCCACTTATTGAGGCAAGACAATGTAATTACAGTATCTGAAAAATCCCCAAAGATGCAATTCGAAATTATTTTACCGAACATAAAACACATTACACAAACCAGCTAAAATTATGTGTACTGTATATGTAAATCTGTCAAGTAATGGAGGTTCATTCCGCTGTGGTAACCCCTGATGAACCAGGGAAAAAAGCAGAAGGAAAATGAATGAATGAAATCTGTAAAGTAGTGCGTTAATCAATAACATTAAAACTGTCATTAATTAAATCTCAACGATCTGTGGTCATTTCTGATATTTGTGATTTAGATTTAATGTAAGTAGAGCAATGTAGACATCGTAAGCGAAGCTTGGTAGACTCAAATAATGTAGTGTAAAACATTATGAAACATCAGTATCTGTGCATTGTGCATTAATATAAAAAGCTTATCAGGCATATGGGTATTATGAAGTAATAAAAATAATGTATACTTTTATACCTTATATTTACCTTTCAATTAGTAGCTTAGCAAATAAAACACAGTGTAGGCCTACTGGGCAAAAGAGGCCTACAAACAAGCAAAATAATCTGCCAATGGGGTAATCAAAATAATCTTATGTCAAAAGAAAAAACAAGATTATTTTGCTGCCCCATTTGCAGATTATTTTGCTTGTTTTAAGGAAAAACTCCCTTAATATTGGCATATTATTTTTCAAAACAAGACTATATGTTTTGCTTGTCTAGAAAATGCTTCTTGATTTAGGAATTTTTAGATATTTGGACTAGAAACAAGACACAAAATCTGAGTAAGAAAAGCATTTTTTTGCAGTGCTGGAGAGTTTAGCTCCAACCCTAATCAAACACACCTGAAGCAGCTAATCAAGCTCTTATATTAGAAACTTGCTCCTTCTTATCTGCTCTCACTTGTGCAGATGTATGTGCCCTCCAGAAACTTGCGTTCTGTAAATGAACGTCACCTCGTGGTTCCATCCCAAAGAGGGAAGAAATCACTTTCCCGAACTCTCGCGTTCAATCTGCCCAGTTGGTGGAATGAACTCCCTAACTACATCAGAACAGCAGAGTCACTCGCTGTCTTCAAGAAACCACTAAAAACTCAACTATTTAGTCTCCACTACACTTCCTAATCTGCAATTGCCTCTCTGAATATCACACTACCTATACCCAAAAAAATAAAATAAAAAAATACTAATACTACTAATACTTTCCTTCTTAGACTTTACAGACCTGAAACTTGCCTACAAGTTTGCCTACATTTATTCATTGTTGCTCTTAGTTGTGTAAATTGCTTCCTTGTCCTCATTTGTAAGTCGCTTTGGATAAAAGCGTCTGCTAAATGACTAAATGTAAATGTAAACTTCCAGGCAGGTGTGTTGAAGCAAGTTGGAGCTAAACTCAGCAGGACACCGACCCTCCAGGACCGAGATTGGACACCCCTGACGTTAGGTAATGTTAATTAAGTTAAATAACGTTAGTTCGTGTTAACTCACCCCTGCTGAAAAATCCAGCCTGGTTTTAGAGGGGTTTAGGCCATTTCCAGGCTGGTTTCCAGCCATTTCCAGCCTGGTCTTAGCTGGTCAGGCTGGAAAATGACCAGCCAAATCCAGCTAAAACCAGCTTGACCAGCCTGGTTTAAGCTGGATATAGCTGGTTTTGGCTGGAATCATAGCTTGGCTAGGCTGGTCAAGCTGGTTTTAGCTGGTTTTAGCTGGTCATCTCCCAGCCTGACCAGCTAAGACCAGGCTGGAAATGGCTGGAGACCAGCCTGGAAGTGGCCAAAACCCCTCTAAAACCAGCCAGGTCGACCAGCTAAAACCAGCTCGACCAGCCTAGGCTGGTTTAAGCTGGATTTTTCAGCAGGGTTAGACAAGTAAAAATATGTGTTGTTGTTTTTTTTTTCAGAAATAAGTCAAAATTAGGTGAGTTTTTGGTAAAACTACAGAATAACGGCACATTAGTATTGGTTAATTTATTCACTGACATTAACCAAGTAGGAATAATCATGTAGAGCGTTTATTATTCATAGTTAAACATTTACTACTGCATTATTCAAAATACAAAGTTGTATTGCCGTCCCTGCTGAAAAATCCCGCTTAAACCAGCCTAGGCTGGTTGGCTGGTTTTAGCTGGTCGACCAGGCTGGTTTTAGAGGGTTTCCAGCCATTTCCAGCCTGGTCTTAGCTGATGACCAGCTAAAACCAGCCTAGCCAAGCTGGGAGTCCAGCCAAAACCAGCTATGTCCAGCTTAAACCAGACTGGTCAAGCTGGTTTTAGCTGGATTTGGCTGGTCATTTTCCAGCCTGACCAGCTAAGATCAGGCTGGAAATGGCTCCAGCCTGACCAGCTAAGACCAGGTTGGAAATGGCTGGAGACCAGCCTGGAAGTGGCCAAAACCCCTCTAAAACCAGGCTGGTCGACCAGCTAAAACCAGCTAACCAGCCTAGGCTGGTTTAAGCTGGATTTTTCAGTAGGGAAGGCACACCAACAGCATACATTTTTAACCTTTCCCTAATCAAACACACCTGAATCAACTCATCAGAACATTAGTGGAGCTCTAAAACCTGAAATGAATGGGTCAGATAAGGGAGACATCCTCAGTATGTGCTGTTGGTGTACCTCTAGAAACAAGGTAGGGAAACACTCATCAAGAAAATGCTTCTTGATTTAAGAATTTGAAGATGTTTAGACTCTAAAACTCATTTATTGCGCGTGTTTGACTCACCCCGTCCATGTCAAACGTGAAGAAGACCTGGTCCACGTAGCTGCTGGCCTCCTCCGTCATGCCCTGCATCTCCAGCATGTTTTTGAGCTCGAACAGCGTAATCAAGCCTGACGGAGATTCCCTCATGAACTTGTTGTACCAGTAGTGCATGTCCTCAGCCAAGACCTCATCCAGGTTGGATGCGTGGGCGCCCATAACTCCTCCGAAGCCTTTCTTTCTGGATGAAGTAAGCGGTTGGTCAAATCCAGAAGCCCAGCAGTGGCTTCAGTGGACAGAGAGCGAGATGTGAAGAGTCTGCCGCTGCGATCTGGGATTGACTGCTGATGACGGCAGGAAGCTTAATGCCCTACAGACTAGGCAACTAAAAGGAGAGATAACCCCTTAATTGGATAACTCCTCAACCCTTCCAGGAACCAGAGAACATTCATGGCTGGCAGACAGGGGAAAGTGGAAAGTCTCCAAACGGATTGAGCTCTCTCTTTTTATTTTCTCTCAGTAAAGGAGAGATGATGATTTGTCGTAATCCTGAACTTCCTGACTTTCTCTTTCTGTGTGTGTGTGTGTGTGTGTGTGTGTGTGTGTGTGTGTGTGTGTGTGTGTGTGTGTGTGTGTGTGTTTGGGAGATTACCACAGAATGATCAGGCAGTTTTTCCGTGGACATTCGGCCAATAGGCTTTAATATTCCTGGCCAATATTGCGAAAGCCCCGCCCTGTATGAAGAGTGATTACTTTCCTTTTAAAAAGTGAGTACACCTGTTGTCTTAAAAGTGTCAAGTTTATTAATTCATTCATTCGTTTTCCCTCAATTTAGTCCCTTATTTATTAGCAATTATCACAGCGGAATGAACCACCAACTATTCCAGCAGCGGATGCCCTTCCAGTGTTGGTGCGGGTTTCCTTTAAGTGCTCCGGTTTCCCTTGCAGTCCAAACACTTGAATTGAATAAGCTAAACTGTCCGTAGTGTATGAGAGTGAATGCAACAGTGTACGGGTGTTTCCCATTGTTGTGGGTTGTTGTGCTGGAAGTGCATCAGCTGCGTAAAACATATGCTGGATAAGTTGACGGTTCATTCCGCTGTGGCGACCCCAAATTAATAAAGGGACTAAGCCAAAAAGAAAATGAATGAATGAATGCCCTTCCAGTCGCAACCCAGTACTGGGAAACACCCATACACACTCTCACATTCTCACACACACACTCATACGCTACAGCCAATTTAGTTTATTCAATTCTCCTATAGAGCATGTGTTTGGACTGTGGGGTAAACCGGAGCACCCAGAGGAAACCCATGCCAACACGGGGAGAACATACAAACTCTACACAGAAATGCCAACTGACCCAGCCGGGACTCAAACCAGCGACCTTCTTGCTATGAGGTGGCAGTGCTAACCACTGTGCCAACCAGCATCAAGTTGACTTTCCTTAAAAAGAATGAAGCAAACCCGCTACCTTAAAAGCTTCAAGGTGACTTTACTTACGAAGTGAGCGAACCCGTTTTGTTAAAAGGCGACAAGTTGACGTCATACTTAATTAAGTAAACTCCTTGTCTTAGAAGCGACACGTGGACTTTACTTAAACAAGTAAATAAACACATAGTGGTAAAAATGACAAGTCAACTTTATATAAAAAGAAGTGAGCGAACCCGTTGTGTTAAAAGTGTCAAGTTGATTTTACTTAAAAAAATTTAGTAAACCCGTAACCTTATAAAAGGCGTCAAGTTGACTTTACTCTAAGTTGAGTCAACTTTTTGTTTTTACAGTGAAAGCGACAAGAAAATGTTGACTACTTAAAAAAGTGAGAGACGTTGTGTTAAAAGCGTCAAAAAGTTGACTTTAATTTAAAAAATTAGTAAACTTGTAGCTTTTTAAAAGGTGACAAGTTGACTTTACTTAAATTGAGTAAACCCGTAACTTTATAAAAGGTGACAAGTTGACTTTACTTTAAAAATTTAGTAAACCCTTAACTTTATAAAAGCCAAGAAGTTGACTTTAAGTTCAGTCAACTTTTTGTTTCTACAGTGAAAGCGACAAGAAAGAGTTGACTTTACTTAAAAAAGTGAGTACACCCGTTGTGTAAAATGCGTCAAGTTGACTTTACTTAAAAAAATGAGTTAACCTGTAACTTTATAAAAGGCGTCAAGTTGACTTTACTTAAAAAAATGAGTTAACCCATTGTCATAAAAGCATCAAGTTGACTTTACTTAGAAATAAACCCATTGTCTTAAACAATGTTAAAAAAAAGTTGACTCAACTTAAAATTTTAAGGCAACCAGCTTCAGGACATTTTTGAGTTTACCCAACTTAAACCGAGTCAAGTGCAGTATTTGGGTTTAAATTTGAGTCAACTCAAAAAAAGCTCTACAGCAGGGGTGCTCAACCCTGTTCCTGGAGATCGACCTTCCTGCAAAGTTCAGCTCCAACCCTGATCAAACACACCTGAACCAATTAATTAGGACCTGAACAGCACTGGATAATTACAGGCAGGTGTGTTTGATGTGGGTTGCAACTGAAATCTGCAGGAAGGTAGATCCCCAGGAACAGGGTTGGTCACCTCTGCTCTACAGCAAGTTGCCTTTCAATTTTGAGTTGAGTCAACTTTTTGTTTTTACTTTGAAAGTGACAAGAAACAGTTGACTTTACTTTAAAAAAAGTGAAGAAGGCGTCAGCTTGATTTAATAAAGTGAGTAAACCCGCTGCATTAAAAGGCGTCAAGTTGACTTCATGCATAAAGATAGTAAACCCAAAGCTTTATGAAAGGCAACAAGTTGACTTTACTAACGTGAGTAAACCCACTGCCTTCAAAGGCGTCAAGTTGACTTCATACATAATAAAGTGAGTAAACCCAAAGCTTTATAAAAGCATCAAGTTGACTTAATAAAGTGAGTAAATCAGTTGCCTTAAAAGCGAAAAGTTGACTAGCTTGCTAAAAAGTTGAAACTTGCTACCATAAGTGACAAAATACTTTTAAAAATCGAGTAATCTCGAGGCAATCTCGAGTAGTTGCCTTAAAAGCGTCAAGTTGACTCCATTCACACTGTAAAAAGTGATTAGTTAAAGCGAGTAAACCAATTGCCTCAAAAGGAACAAGTTAACATCACAAAAATAATGTAAGTAAATCCATAACTTGGAACTGTTAAGTTGACTTAATTTTTATTATTATGCAAATTGTAATTATGTTTTTTTTAAGTTAACAAATGACCTTTTCCAACACAGATTTATTTTATTTATTTATTTTTATTTTCAGCATTCTGTATCCAACAAAATGACTCCAGTGTGTCTTCTAAATTCAAGCTATTTCAGGCTATAATTGTAGATTTTATAGACTTAATGAAGCACAAAGTATGTAATATTCTAATAAATACAGTATTTATTTGAAAACAGACATGATAAAATAGTCTGACACTGTGAAAAGGAATTAGTTAACTTTAAAAAAGTGAGTGTAGTAAGTATACTGTTAAATATAAAGGGAGTAAACCCAAAGCTTTATGAAAGGCAACAAGTTGACTACTTAAAAAAAGTGAGTAAATCAGTTGCCGTAAAAGCGGAAAGTTGACTAGCTTGCTAAAAAGTTGAAACTTGCTGCCTTAAGTGGCAAAATTATTTTAAAAAGTAAGTAAACCCCCTGCCTTAAAAGGTGTTAAGTTGACTTTACTTAAAAAAGTGAGTAAACCCCCTGCCTTAAAAGGTGTTAAGTTGACTTTACTTAAAAAAGTGAGTAAACCCCCTGCCTTAAAAGGTGTCAAGTTGACTTTACTTAAAAAAGTGAGTGAAATTGTTGCCTTAAAAGCAAAAAGTTGAACTTACTTAAAGTCAGTAAACTTGATACCTTAAGTGACAAAATTATTTTAAAAATTGAGAAATCCTGTTGTCATAAAAGCGTCAAGTTGACTTTACTGAAAGTGAGTAAACCCGTTGTAGATTTTACATTTACATTTATTTCACTTTCATAGTTATAGTTTATTTACCTAAATATTTTAAGGCAATGGGTTTACTCATTTTTAAGATAAAGTCAACTAATCATCATAAAAGCAGCAGGTTTATCAACTTGAAAAAACGAATTGTTCGATGTGGGCGAGTTTTAGAGTTCGCTGAGCTCTTGTTTCGGGGAAACCCCATCGGTAGAAAGCTGTATTTGAGCTCAAGTAGGTTTGGTGTTAATTCTAACTAGGGCAGAGGATATTTTAGGAAGCCAACATTCAGACTGCACCCAAGGGCATGATATATTTGGATTTGGCTAGATGCACAGGAACTTATGTAATATTTCAGAGTGTTTGATTAAGCTGTTAAAAGAATCGTTCTCCCAAAAATGAAAATTTGCTGATCGTTCGTTCATTTTTTTTCTTAGAAATTTAGTCTTATTTTATATCTTAAAAATTCTATAATCAAAAGCATTTTAATCAAAAAGTCAAAAATGTCAAAATTAAGTGATTTATGTTTTTAAAACAAGCTAAATAATCTTGTTTTTAGTTTAAAATAACATTATTTTGCTTGTTTTAAGGAAAAACTTGCTTCATTTTGACTCTATTTCTGAAAACAAGACAATATTGTTTAATTTTCAAGAAAGTACTTCATGGATTTTTAGATATTTGCATGTAAAGCAAGTCAAAAACTGTGAAAAAAAAATAAATAAAATTAGCTGTGTGCTGAACAATTCTGACTGAGGAAAGTTGCTGGTCAGCTTGTTGTTTGCCTAATAAATCACAATAGACTACAGTTTTCAATTTAACTATTTTTCCCCTAATGATTTATGATGTAATAAATCTGTATTTTAAAAATAAGTATTTTTTGCATTTCTTAATTTCTAAATTTATAGGAAATATTTTAGGCACATCAAAAAGTGTAGTTATAATGGCCATCCCACAGGCTAATCCAGCTAAAAACAGTGCTGAAAATGTCACTAAAATACAGTATTTCAACCTCATAATTAAATAGAAAAGGGCGTCAAGGTGGCACAATGGGTAGCACAATCGCCTCACAGCAAGAAAGTCACTGGTTTGAGGGTCAGTTGGCATTTCTATGTGGAGTTTGCATGTTTTCCCAGGGTCAGCGTGGGTTTCCTACGGGTGCTCCAGTTTCCTCCCAAGTCCAAACACATGCGCTATACGGGAATTGAATAAGCTAAATTGGCCGTAGTGTTTGTGAGTGAATGAGTATGTATGGGTGTTTCCCAGTGTTGGGTTGTGACTGGAAGAGCATTCGCTGTGTAAAACATATGCTTGATAAGTTGGCGGTTCATTCCCCTGTGGCGACCCCTGATGAATAAAGGGACTAAGCTGCAAAGAAAATGAATGAATGGATGAATTAAATAAAAAATGAGGCGAATAACTACAGCAAAAGACCACCTCT